GGATTTGTGTGTGTGTGTGGCATTGCGTGCATGTCTGTATGTGTAAGTGTCAATATGTACACACGTGTATACGAGTATTTGGTGTGTGGTTAATTATGAATATATGTGTTCACATATACTGTGTCAGTGGATGTCCATGTGTGTAGGTGTGTGTGTCCGTGTGAGTGTGTGAGGCATGTGCTTACGTGGAAAGGTTTCTCTGTAAGGCTTGAGCTAGAAACTGCGGCCCAGGCCGGAGTGGGTATGGAAAGAGGTTAGGACGGGATGGAGGGGTGACCTAATTTGCTTTCTGTTACTGTAATGAAACACTGACTAAAATAAAATTGGAGGCGGGGAGCTTATCTGGCTTACAGGTTACAGTTCATCGTCGGGGGAACCTGAGGCAGGAGCTGAAGGCAGGAATTAAAGCAGAGGGCACGGAGGAGTGCTGCCCACTGGCTTGCTTCCCCTGGCTCGCTCAGCTACCTTTCTTCTCTAGCCAGCCTCACCTGCCTAGGGATGGTACCACCCACAGTGAGCTGAGCCCTCAGACACCAACCAGCAACCCAGCCAACGGCCCCCCCAGACGCGATCACGGGACCGTCTGGTAGAGGCAACTCCTCAGCTGAGGTTTCCTCTTTCTAGGTGTGTCAAGTTGACAACTGCAGCTTTGACCGGGGGGGGGGGGGGGGGTGGTGGTGGGTGGGTGGGGAGCAGAAAGCAGTGGGTTCACTGTGGGGCAGGCGCGCGTGGACTGAGTGAGGCACGAGGAAAATGTCTCTAGTACCTGAACAGCCTGCGAATTCCAGGGCAGAGTGGTTCCAGCCAGGCAGAGGGAAGGGCAGCCACGGAGCCAGGGAAGGGGCTCTGAGGGTGACCCTGGGGACAGCGTGGGGACAGCAAGTCCTTCCTTCTGCTGTTACGTGAAAGGATGGGACGCCTTGCTCAGGGTTACAGAGAAAAGTCTAGAAGTATGCTGCCTTGATTCAGCAAGGACCTTGATGAAGACACTTTGAGTCACCCTCAGGGAGATTTGCTAGACAAGGAACTGGGGTGTAAGAAGGGGGGCGGGTGTCAGCCCAGGAGCATCAAGTCCTACCTGAAGGGGTCCCGGATATGGAACGCATGTTCCCTCTCTAGCTGGCTTCTGTTGATGGGTGGACAGATGGATACCCACACAGAGGTCTGAACCAAGAAGCCTGGTGGCTCCTGGGGACAGGGGACTCTAGGGTCAGGAGGGAGACACCAGGGGACTCTAGGGTCAGGAGGGAGACACCAGGGGACTCTAGGGTCAGGAGGGAGACACCTATGTCCTCCCTTTCCCGTGCTGGTTTGCCAATACTAAGCCTTCTGTGCTCCACAGAGAAGGGGCTGGACCAGAAGGTGCAAGAGCCGAGGGCGACACCTTGTGGTGAGGTCTGTGCATTACAGGCAAGACTATCTCTAAGTCTTGTAGACTATGCATACTTTGTATGTTTCCTGCTCCTCCTCTTCACTCACCTTTCTCATTTTTCTCTTCCTCCTCTGCCCCTTCCTCCTTCCCATCTTCTCTCTCCTCACTTCCCCTCCCTCCCCAACCTCCTCCGTCTCCCTTCTCTCTTTCTCCCCATCCTCTTCCCCATCTCCTTCTCTTCCTCTCCCTCCCTCATGCGACCCAGACTGACTAAATTTTCTGTGCAAGCTAGTGCCGACAACAGGCTGTGCCCTGCTGTGAGTTACTCAATCTTGGGTAAAACCGCTCTTTCGGGCTGTGTTTCACCCCCCAAGAGGCCCCATTTTATCACCATTTGAATCCATTTTGGGGGCAGATGCCGATGGTTCCTGAATGGATCTGCAGACACCATCATTCATCCAGCACCACCCAGGCAGCACAGACTAGCACGGGACTTATTCCTGGGAGCAGAAAGCCGGGTGTGGTGGTGCACGCCTTTGATCCCAACACTGAGAAGGCGAGGCAGGTAGATCTCTCTGTGAGTTCGAGGCCAGCCTGGTCTACGGAGTGAGTTCCAGGAAAGGCGCAAAGCTACACAGAGAAACCCTGTCTCGAAAAACAAAACAAAACAAAAAAAAAAGCAAAAAATGTATTTGTTTGTTTCAAAAAATATATTTTAAAAAATTTAATAAGGGTGCCACCCTTCAGGGTGAACAAAGACTGTAGGGATACATGGGTGCTTAAAATTCTTATTAGGAGCTGGATGTGGTGGCACACACCTTTAGTCCCAGCACTTGGGAGGAAGTGGCAGGCAGATCTCTGTGAGTTCGAGGCCAGCCTGGTCTACAGAGCTAGTTCCAGGACAGCCAGGGCTACACAGAGAAACCCTGCTTTGAAAAGAAACAGCAAAAAACTACCAGAAAAATAAGAGCCCAAGAACTCATCAGGCTCAGGCACACGAAGGAAAGGGTGTAACCCCCTCACCTGGAGCCCATAAAGTGATGGACACCAAGCACTACCGTGGCCGTGGCCCCACCCCTTCTTGTCATCTGATACCCAGTGTGTGTGTGAAGGACCAATATGCAGCTCTCCTGACTGGCCCTGGGGCCTCAGCTCAGCCCCCCCCTTCCCACCCCCGTCTCCATGACTGTGGACTAGGAAAGTGTTGAATGCTGTGAGCCGCCTAGGAAGAGCATGAAAGAGCCGTGCTGAGAGCTGTGGACTGTGGAGGTCCAGCTCAAGGGGTTTCAGAGGGGAACAATATTACCGCTGGGTTAGAGAACCATTCTTTTTTCTTTTTTTTTTTTTATTTTGGTTTTTTGAGACAGGGTTTCTCTGTGTCGTTTTGGTGCCCGTCCTGGATCTTGCTCTGTAGACCAAGCTGGCCTCGAACTCACAAAGATCTGCCTGCCTCTGCCTCCCAAGTGCTGGGATTAAAGATGTGCGCCACCACTGCCCGGCTAGAGAACCATTCTTGTGATAGTTCGGCAAAGACTGTGACTGCTTTCTGCCCTTGCCCTAAGACCCTGCCTGAGCCGAAACTGAGGAGTTTTGGATTCAATTTGTTGTCAGAGGTTTCAAGACGGCCTAATAGTGACTCTGTCCTGTGGTTATTAGTGATCACTCTAATGCATCAGGATTGTTATCCGGAAAACAAACTTAGAGGCAGGGGGCAGGAGGCGGGGGTGGGGGGTGGGGGAGTTTCTGTTTACCAGGAGCTATCCTAATCCTCCAGAAACCTCCCATAACCTCCCCACAAAGTCCAATTACCTCGGGAAGGGCACCTAGTTCCTGATCAACCCCACAGCCTGAATCAGCTCAGATCCCCACCTGCTGACTGTAATATTAATTCTGCCTGCTTTGCCATCATTTTGTTCTTCTCTCTGCTCCCCCACAAGTGATAGCCTTGTCAATTTGATCCCCAATAAATCTTTCTTTCCACACACAGAGTTTGGCAGTTTCTCCGTGCCATCACTTATGGGAAGTATGTAATTTGGTTTTACAGGGGGTTACAATTAAGAGGTTGCCCTGGAGTCTCAGAAGAGCCTTCGGAACTATGTTGAGACTGACGAACTATGGGGAACTTTTGAAGTTGGACTAACACGTTTTGCATTATAAAATGGCTACAAGTCTATGGGGTCCAGGGAGTGGAATGTGGTGGTTTGAATGTAAACAGCCCCCATAGGCTCATGTTTAAATATTTGGTCCCCAGTTGGTGGAACTGTTTGGGAAGGATTAGGAGGTGTGGCCTTGTTGGAGGAGATGTCACTGAGGGTGGGCTTTGAGGTTTCAAAAGCTCATGCTATTCTCAGTCAGGTCTCTTGCTCTCTGCCCATGCTTGTGGTTCAGATGTGAGCTCTCAGCCACTGCACCAGCACCATGCCCGCCTGCCGCCATGCTCCTCACCACGACAGTCATAGATGCGTGCTCTGAAACCGTAAGCCTCGCAAAATGCTTTATTCTGTAGGTTGCCTTGGTCACGGTGCATTGTCACAGCAACAGAAAAATGACTAGGACAGGACCTCAACTGAGAAAATGCCCCCAGCAGATTGCCCTGTAGGTAAGTCTGTGGGGCATTTTCTTAATGAATGATATGGAGGACCTAGCTTACTGGGGACAGTGCCACTCCTGGGCAGGTAATCCTGGTGTGTATAAGAAAGCAGGCTGAGCCAGGTGGTGCTGGCACATGTCTTTAATCCCAGCACTTGGGAGGCAGAGGCTGGTGGATCTCTGTGAGTTCAAGGCCAGTCTGGTCTACAAAACGAGATCCAGGATAGGAACCAAAACTACACAAGAGAAACCCTGTCTCGAAAAACAACAACAACAAAGAAAGAAAGGAAGGAAGGAAGGAAGGAAAAAAGAAAGAAGGAAGGCTGAGCAAACCGTGGAGAGCAAGCCAATAAGCAGCACCCCTCTATGGCTTCTGCTCCAATTCCTGTCTCCAGGTTCCTGCCCTGTTTGAGTTCCTGCCCTGACCTCTCAGTGACAGACTGTGATGTTGAACTGTAAGCTGAAATTAGCCCTTTCCTCCCCAAGTTGCTCATAGTGTTTTATTACAGCAATAGAAACCTATAATACCCACAGACTTTAAAAAATACACTTACTGGGCAGTGGTGGCACTCACCTTTAGTCCCACCACTCGGAGACAGAGCCAGGCGGATCTCTGTGAGTTCAAGGCCAGCCTGGTCTACAGAGCTAGTTCCAGAACAGCTAGGGCTGTTACATAGGGGAAACAACAAAAAAAAGCTTTTGTGTGTTTGTGCGTGTGTGCATGCATGCCTGTGTGTATGAGTGTGTGTGCATGAGCATGCATGCACACTCAAGTATGCATATGGACATGTGGAGGTCAGAGGACAAACCTGGGTGTTATTCCTTAGGGACATGGTCCACCTTCTTCAAATCCAGCCCCTCTAAAGCAACCCCACCACCTCCATTGACCCTTCACATCTGAGTAGAAGCTAGCTGGCAAAGCTAGGACCCAGTCCTGTCCCCAGGGTGTCCAAGACAGACGCAGGCCACAGCAGGAGTCCTGTACCTCAGTCACAAGCTTTATTGTCCGAACATGGACTCGCCACACTTCCACAATTCCACTGGGGGGGGGGGGGGGGCGGGGGCGGGTTACGGGAGGGGATGGCTGAGCCACAGCTGGGTGGCCCCACCAGGTAGGCTGAGGGGGCCTTCAAAGGCCAGTGCTTGTGGGGAAATGGCTTCTCGCACACCTACCCGGTGCAAGTCCACTCCAGGGTGGGGCTCAGCCCCTGCCGGTCCCTACTGTGGGAGCCTTTGGCCGTTAGTCCCTAATCCGTGAGCCGCTCGATTGTGCTGGAAAAAGCAATATTTGGCCCTGTAGTTAGACCACTAAAGCAGCAATTCTGGGCTCTAGGCTGCTGTTTGGTTAAAGGCGATGCTACCCAAAAGCCAACAGGAAGCAGAAAGGACGGTGGAGGGGCTAATTCAACTGCCCCCCAACGGGCAAGAGCGTGAGTGACACCTGCTGGTGCCCGGGTGGTGCTCACAGAGGCCACCTGGGCCATCCTTATGACTTACCATAGCTGTCACCCACTGGGAAGATTAGGAGCAGGGCCCTCCGTGGGTTGCTGGGGTCTTTGGAGTAACATGGCAGGGGCTCCCAGAAATAAAGGGGAACCAGTTCGACTTCTCTCTCTTTCCCCCACCCACCCCCAGCAAAACACCATCTGGATGCTTTGTTTAAAGAGTTTTGTACCTGTTCTTGCTTGGCTCCAAGCCCCAAGCGCCAGGCCTGGCTCAAGGTCAAAGGTGGGAGGAAGGATGGGTTTGTGTGCTCACCGAATACTGTAGCCGTCTGCTCGATGGTTTCCGGGCAGCAGGTAGGAGGTGAGTATGCATACTAGCTTGGTGTTGAGCAAGAAGGAGCCTGTCACCCCCAAATCTTCCCTGGCTAAAGAGGCCCACGGGACCTTGTACCGATGTGTACAAGAGGCTCGCACGTGGAGTCAAGAATGCCCTCCCTAGTTTCTGAAGACTGAAGCCCTTCTCAGTGTGAATGTGTCCAAGCAGGGGCCCTGCTGCACCCTTCAGAGGCCTGCAGGGGACCTGGGGACACCAAAGGAAAGGGGGGCAGGCAAGTACCCAGGTGCCCCAGACAAGCCTCAGAGCGGCCTGCGATAGCCAAGAGAGGCCTGACTGGATCGCTTCAGCCTCTGCAAATTCCAGAAGCGCCTTGGGACAAGAGAGGTTCTCCGGGGCCAGGCCCAGCTGTACCGCACTCTGTGGAAGGCCGTGTCTGTGGGAGCCTCCTGGTCCGGCAGGGGGTTCAGATGGGAATTGTCCACAGCTGTGAGGACAATACAAACATAGTCTTATCTCCAAGGAGACAGTTCTGGCTCCTGCCTGGAGGTGGAGCTGCTGGGAAGCCTGGCAGGGCTCTGGTGTGAATGGGGCCGGTCCATCCGTGGTGTTCCTTGGGGTCAGTGTTTGTCCTAGAGAGAACAAGGGTTTGATCATCAAGAGTCTTGAAGGACAAATGAGCAGATGGGGGGGGGACAAAGGGGAAGAGAGCATGCTGGGTAGAGGGGACAGCATGTGTCAAGGTCCTGTGGCAGGAAAAGCCTGGATTCTATAAGGAGATCCAAGAATCTTTGTGGATGATGGATCTGAAGAAATAAGAAGTAAGCCAGGTGGTGGTGGTGCACACCTTTAATCCCAGCACTCAGGAGGCAGAGCCAGGTGGATCTCTGTGAGTTCAAGGTCAGCCTGGTCTACAGAGTGAGAGCCAGGACAAGCACCAAAACTACACAGAGAAACCCTGTCTTGAAAACAAAACAAAACAAAACAAAAAAACAGACTCCAAACCTCAGTCTCCACATCTGGAAGTTATGATGACCATGTTTCTTACAAGGTTGCAGGAAAAACAAACCCTCACATGGTCTAGACAACAGTTCCCAGGGTGGCGGCTACTCTGCCAACCCAACCCTGCCAGCTGCCTTGCCCACAGCTACCTGGCTAGGGATGGATGGCCTTCAAGGTCCTTGTTCAAAGCCACTTGGAACAGCTGGAAGGTCAAGGAGCAAGCCGAGCTTGTCTCCACTCCAGCCTCACCTGCCTGGGTCACACCGCTAGCCGGGGACACGGATGCTCCTAGACCAGGTGCTAAGTCCCTCATGGGTGTTTGCAAAGATCTGGGTGGAGGCTGGGGGAAAGGTGGGAAACTGGGGCACTCTGTCTCCCAAAACCAAGGGCTGGGGTGTGGCTCAGTGGTAGAGCCCCTGCCTAGAGTCCCCCAGTGAGGGGCTGAGGTGTGGCTCAGTGGTAGAGCACCTGCCTAGAATCCCCCAGTGAGGGGCTGGGGTGTGGCTCAGTGGTAGAGCCTCTGCCTAGAATCCCCCAGTGAGGGGCTGGGGTGTGGCTCAGTGGTAGAGCACCTGCCTAGAATCCCCCAGTGAGGGGCTGGGGTGTGGCTCAGTGGTAGAGCACCTGCCTAGAGTCCCCCAGTGAGGGGCTGGGGTCGTGGTCAATGCTAAGGCACTGGGTTCCATTCCCAGAACCACAGAAAAAACAAAAACCCCCAAAAAGAAAAGCAGGGCCCATTCCTGGATGGGATAGACTAGTACTAGACTCTTCCTAAGCAAGCAACCCAACCCGCGCTGTTACAGGACACAAAGACACACACAAAGCATTCATGTCCCTTTGTATACTTAGTGACTTCGGAGGGTTTTCTCAGAGGCCTGCTGGCGCGCTCACCTCCTGTTTGTGGGCCTTCTCTGGCTGGTGGATGCCGTTGGCAGAACCGGAATTGCCGATGGTCTGTGAGGGATGGGGAGGGGAGGAGCCGCTGAGCAGGCGGCCAGGATGCAGTTCCACAGGTAACCACAAGGGGGAGCGGTGTTTCCCAATGGGACCAGCCAGGCTCAGAACCAAAGCCTTTTAGATGGGCTTTCCCAGGACAACACTGCTTGCTTCCTTTTCAGATTTGGGACTCCTAGGATGGGGCCACCCTCCTTCAGACTCGGGTCCCCAGCGTGGAGCCGCCTCCCGTTTGGGGCTGGGGTTCCTGGACTCGGCCACCCTCCTCTCGATGGGGGTTCCCGAGGCTGCAGCCGCGTGTGCTCACCGGAGTCCTGTCTGAGCAGCCCCTAAGAGCCTCCACCAGCCTCTCCACCTGCTGGGCCTGGTCCAGCGCGTCCCGCAGGGCATCCTCCGTGCTCACCAACTGGTGCTGCAACCGGAGCAGCTCGGGCGCCGAGGCCGGGTCAATGAGGGAGTAGCGTCTCTGCTCGGACAGGGACTTCTCCTTGTCCTGGAAGGGTGCAGGCGTGGGCGTGTGACCTGCCGGTGTGGCTGCTAACCGGAAACTCCTCAGGCCCCACCTCCCGCTTTACAAGGACCCCGCTCCCCAGACCTCCAGTTACAACGTCTCCAAGTCCTAGAATTTAAGATTTCCCTCCGCAGTCACACCAGAGTCCTTCTCTTCCCACTAAGCCACAGAGTCGTGACACCCAGGATTCCTCTCTCACTCCCAAGTCCATGTCACATTCCTCCTATCTGTCCCCGGCCCCTTATAAGTGTCTCCTCTCTCCCCACCATGACATACGATGGTCAGGGTCCACACTCTCCACTAAGCCCTCCCACTAAGCCATCCCAAGATGCACCCGGCCGGCCTAGCCTGCTCACTCCGCTTGCTCCACCCTGGGACTCCGGGCCAAGCTCAGAGCGTCTATGCAAATCTCACTGTGGCTCCAGGACCCATGCTCTTCATATGGCTTCCAGCTTTTCACTGCGTTCTTCCCAGCACAGGGCTGGTCCATCAGCCCGGAGCCCCAGGGTACAAATACAAACTCCCCCCTACCTGTATGGACCCCACATGGCTCTAGAAAGCCCAGCAGCACAGGACCTTGTTTCCTCCTGTGGCACAGAGCTGCACAGGCCAGACGTGGACGTGTGTGTGTGTGTGTGTGTGTGTGTGTGTGTGTGTGTGTGTGTGTGCCGGCACCTGGCCAGGCCAGACATAGGACCAGAATGCTAACAGGGCAGCTGGGCCCAATAACCACCATACCTAGGACCAGGTATGAAACTAGATGGAGTCCGTATGCCTAAAGAGATCTTTATTACAGAGTCTCATGTAGTCCAGGCTGGCCCCACTCACTCCTGAACAAGGAGCCCAGCTCCTGGCTTCTGGTTGGTTACCTCCCTGCATGGATTGTTTTTTTTTTTTTTACCCTCCACACATGACTGATTTTTGCGCTTTCAGCTCTGGTCAGACCAGGCTGTATGTGTCAGTGTAGCGGCATCTCTGGTTATGATGTCTAAAAAGGGGGGTCCTGGGGCCCCTCCAACTGCTCCGTGCTTGAGATCCTGGAGTTCCTGGATTTTCAGCCCCCTCTGTGACCCTGGGAGGTCACCAAGTCTCCTGGGCCTGGCAGCAGGCTAGCCACGGAACCCCTTACCCTGAGCCCCACCCCTGGCCTCCACATACCAGCCCCGTCAGCTTTTCACGCAGGCCCCGGATGTCGTCCTTCAATTTCTGTTCCTTTATCCGCCATTCGGCCTTGTGCACCTCACGGCTCAGGTCTCTCTCGGGCCCTGGCGAGTGGCGGTTGGCTTCCAGCAGCAACACCCTCAGCTCATTCAGACTCCTGAGGTGGGGCGGACAGTCAACAGAACCAGAGGCATCAGCCCTGCACCTCACCCCCACCATGCAGTAGGAGCCAGGTGCCTGGAGGCCCGTGGCCACCCATGACCACCAGGGGGCGCCAGCCACAAGGCAATGGTGCACCAGAGACCCGCTCGAAGGAAGTGGCATGAGTATGCCACACCCAAGAGGAACAGCATTTGGATGTAGGATGATCAGGTGGACCTGTCTGTACTTAAGAGTTTCGTTTGGGGGTTGGGGATTTAGCTCAATGGCAGAGTGCTTGCCTAGCAAGCGCAAGGCCCTGGGATCGGGCCTCAGCTCTGAATAAACAAAGAAAGAGTTTCGTTTGTTTTTTAAAGGTTTACTTGTTTTTGTTTTGTGTAAGGGTGTCTGGTCTTCGTGTATGTCTGTGGACCATGTGCACACTTGGTGTTCCCCGGGGCCAGAAGATGGTGTTGGATCTGCTGGAACTGGAGCCATAGATGTTTGTGAGCCACCATGTAGGTGTTGGGAATCAAACTGGTATCATCTGGAAGAGCAGCCACCTCCCTGGTCTCAGATTTTATTTTATTTTTTCCATTTTGTTTTGAGACTGGGTTTCATATAGTGTGGGCTGGCCTCCAACTCTATGTAGCACCTTGAATTCCTGACCCTCCTGCCTCCCCTTCCCAAGTTTGATGATTAGAGTCACAGGCATTATGTCTGATGTACATGGTGCTGGGCGTGGAATTCAGGGTGTTGTGCATGCCAGTCTGGCTCTCTACCCACGGAGCCACATCCCTCAGCCCCATGGTAATCTCTCAAATACTGGGATCATGGGTGCGCACCGCTGTGCTGGGCTGTCGGTCTGGGTTTAGAAATAAAATGAGAGAAGTATTTCAAAGTCAGAGGAGGGCTGGGGAGCTGGCTCAGTGGGTAAAGGCACTTGCCGCTAAGTTTGAGGACTTGAGGCCTTCACACACATTCTGTGTCACACACAACCTCCCACAGGCAAATAAATAAATAAAATGCAATTAAATTAAAAAAAAAGGGAAACAAAACAAAAAATAAACCTGAAAACCATTTTGCTGCTCACGATAGATGAGCTGGGCATGGCTCACCCCATAACCCTACCACGGGGAAGCTGAAGCTGGAGGATAGGGGGTTCAAGGCAAGCCTAGGGTATGCAGAGAAGCCTTATCTGAAGAAAAAAGCTGGGGCTGGGGAAACGGCTCGGTGGTTAAGAACACCAGCTGCTCTTTCAGAAGCCCTGAGTGTGATAATCAGTTCCAGTGACATCGCCTACAAATTTTGTAACTTAGTACCAACAAGGCAAAATAAAAGTACACTTTTTCAATTGTTAAAAAACAAAACAAAACAAAAAAAAATAATCAGTTCCATCCGTAACCCTAGATCCAGGGGATCTCATGCCCCCCTTCCAGCTTCCACAGGCACTGATTATTATTATTATTATTATTATTATTATTATTATTATTATTATTATTATTGTGATATTATTTATTTATTTGTTTACTTTAATTTTAGTTATGTTTTTAAAATATATTTCAAAAAATGTAGGAATTTGACATTTTGAAAGTTTTTAGAAACAGTCTCTGTTCCACAGAGTAAGGAATGCTTTCATATCATCCTCTTAGTTTCTACTATGGTGGAAAAAACGTCTTGGAAAGAATGTTCCACAGGCACTTATATACACATGGTGCACATTCAGGCACACACACACCTGAAATTATAAATAAGCAAATCCTTAAAAAGAAAAAAAAACCCAAAAAAGTTCCGAGTAAACTTAATTATTTTTACAAGTGGCAAGACATCCACAAGACCACAATGTGAGGGCGGCACTCATCTTTCTCATATCCGCTGTTTGGAGAGCTATGTTAGGGACTCTGAGGGGCTGGAGAGATGGTTCAGGGGTTGCTCTTGCAGAAGGGCCAAGTTCCATTCCCAGCACCCATGTGTCAGCTCACAACCATCTGTATCTCAATTTCCTGGGGATCTGATGTCCTCTTCCGACCTCCGTGAGCACCAGGCACACACGAGGTACCCAGATTTACATGCAGGCAAAACACTCATATACATAAAATAAATACATCTAAGAAGATTAAAAAGAAGTCAGGTGGTGGTGGCGCACGCCTCTGATCCCAGCACTTGGGAGGCAGAGGTAGGTGGATCTCTGTGAGTTCGAGGCCAGCCTGGGCTACAGAGTGAGTTCCAGGACAGCTAGGGCTGCACAGAGAAACCCTGTCTCTAAAAACAAAAACAAAACAAAACAAATGATTAAGAAGAAGGAAGAAAGAAAAGGACTTGGCAGCCTCACTGGAGCTGAGCCCTGAAGCACTCACCGCTCCTTCCGTAGCAACTCCTGGCTAATGTGGACCAGCTGGCCCGAGGCATCATGGGTCTTCCGAGACACGGCCTCCAGCTCCGCCTCCAGACGCCTCTTTTCCTTCAGGACTGAATCCAACTTCTTCTCTCCTGATTTACACTTGTTCTCCAGGGCTGGGGGAAGCCACAAAGAGAGTTCAAACACAAATGGGAACTGGGGGTGTGGCTCAACGGGTAGAGTGCTATCCCAGCATATCAGAGGCCCTGGGTTCGATTCCCAGCACCCTGGGTTTCGGGAGACCCATATCAAACACCAATGAGAGGCTCGTCTAGTCAGGATGATGGGGAGATGATCGTCACCCTAAGAGGCAGGCGGTGCGACAAGCAATGTGCAAAGGTCTGTGACTCCAACACCAGGGAGACTGAGGCAGGAGGATCACTATGTCACAGTGGTGACATAGTGAGTTTCAGGACAGAGACCCTGTCCCCAACAACAACAACAACAAAGAGTCGAGGCCTAGCATGCATTTCGCCCTGGGCTCCATCCCCAGCACCACTTAAACCAGGCATGGAAGTGCACACCCCTCATCCCAGCACTTGGGAGGCAGAAGGAGGGTTAGAAGTTCAAGGTCATCCTCAGCTATGTTGGGAATTCAACACAGCTCAAAACGTGCCTCAAAAGGGAAAAAGGAAAAGGTAGTGTCCGAGTTAGTACTGTCAACTGGACACAGCCTCGCGTGGACTGAAGAGAATTGCAACTGCGGAACTGTCTTTACCAGGTTGCTCTGTGGGTCTGCGGACGTGTATTGTTCTGACTGTTAATTGGTGCGAGCGGACCCAGCCCACTGTGGGCGGCACCATTCCCTAGACAAGTGGTCCGGGGCTGTACCACAAAGCTAACAACACACAAGGCGTCTACCACGCCAGCGAGCAACTTTCCTGTGGTTTCTGCTTCAAGCTCCCGCTTGAGTTTCTGCCCTGACTTCCTGCAGTGATGGCCTGCAGTGACCCGGAAGCACAAGCCCAGCTCTACCAAGCCAGCAACCCTGGCTCTCTGGGGTGGGGATGCGTGACAGGTCACCGTGGCTGCTTTTTTATCCAGACAAGGAAAACAACTGAAGCTAAGTCTTCACTTTTGGCCTTGGGAGAGTCAAGAGCCCACTGACCTTTCTCATGACCCCTGAGGCCAGGTAAATGTCACCAGGACTAGAAGAAAAGGAGGATGGCGGCGATCCCTCAGGGGTGGGGAGGGGTGTTCCTAGGGCAATGCCAAGGGCACTTGGAACCAATGAGTCCTACTGTCACCAATTCTAGACTTCCGGCCTCTCCCAGGCCCTCTGTGTGTACTCTGCTTTCCGAGGGGGTCCAGATTCTATACTCTATTTAGAACTTCTTCTTTTACAACTGTCTTATGTAGCCCAGGCTGGCCCCAAAATTTCACCGCCGTCTTGAACTTCCTGATCCTCCTGTCTCTACCTCCTGAGTGCTGGGATTACTGGTGTCCAGGCTCCCTGCAGCCCAGCCCGTTTCTCCTGGGGACCAGGGGCTGCATGAAAGAGGCCTGTGAGAAACTCAAGTCTTCAAGAAGGCCACACAGAGAACTTGGTGGGCTCGAGAACTCAGTGGGCTCTGGGGAGAAGGCAGCACCTCCGCATCATCTGATCACTCAGCAGAGCCCAGGATAGCTCTCAAGCAGATAGACCAGCCCAGCTGGACCGGCAGAGTCACAGAGCCAGCCTCCACCAACCCCCAACCTCTGCCCCTAGGGAGGGAGACTTACCACTTACTTGGTCCCTGAGCATGTCCATCTGGGATGTCAAGGCTGTCACCTCTTTGTCCCTCTTGTTCAGTTTGTCCTGCAGGCCTAGGAGAGGAAGAGAAGACAGGGGACCCATGAGCACCCCAGGGCCAATAATGTAAGGGGTGACCCTCCTGGGGGCATCCTAAAAGGGGTCACACTCAGCCTCTCTGTCAAAGATCTTTTCTCAACACCTGAGTCGCCCACACAGAGGAAGATGACCCCATAGTGTGTGGTTTAGGGACCATGAGTCTCTATCTCCTCGGTTTCCCCAAGCAAAAGAAGTCGAAACAATGAAATAAAGATGGTGGCCGCAGAACCATCAAGGCGCTCCTGTGTTGGATTGCTTCCCGAACCCATCAGGAAGATGCTTCGAAGCCTGTGGATGTTTCTCAAGTTAGCTTATCACCTGTCTCTTGCACATAGCCCAGGCTGGCCGCAAATGTACTACATAGCCGAGGATAACCTTGAACTTCTGACCCTCCTGCTTCTACTTCCAAAGGATCAGACATGCAACACTATGTCCAGGTTTATGTGGTCGGTGGGGGTGGAGCCAGGGCTTCTCGAATGCCAGGCAAGCACCCCACTAAGCCACATCCTCAGCCCCAACAAACACCTACTTTTCTTGAAATAGCATCTTAATATGTAGCCCAGGCTAGACTTGATCTCATGGGAAGCCTAGCTCACATAATTTTTTTTTTTGAGACAGGGTCTCCATATGTAGCCCTGGCTAGCCTTGAACTCATGGCAATCTTGCTTCAGCCTCCCTAGTGGTGGGATTTTAAGTGAGTGCCACTGTGCCTGGCTAGTTAATATCTCATTTTTAAAAATAAGATAAAAACCAAACAAGTTACAAGAGCCAGCAGCAGGTAGAGAAGCTTCTGACATTTGTAATTCCATCTTACTCCACACTCCATTTTCTAGAGTGAACCATCACCAAGGCTCCTGCAATTTGCAATTTTAACACACATCCTCTAGCTTCCCATGTCTATAAATATCCCAGACAGGGAAGGTGGTCCTTCAGTTTTTTTGTTTTTGTTTTTTTCGAGACAGGGTTTCTCTGTGTAGTTTTGGTGCCTGTCCTGGATCTCGCTCTGTAGACCAGGCTGGCCTCAAACTCACCGAGATCCGCCTGGCTCTGCCTCCCGAGTGCTGGGATTAAAGGCGTGTGCCACCACCGCCGCCCAGCGGTCCTTCAGTTTTTTTTTTGTTTTTTTTTTTTTAAAGATTTATTTATTTATTATGTATACAGCATGTATGACAGCAGTCCAGAAGAGGGCACCAGATCTCATTACAGATGGTTGTGAGCCACCATGTGGTTGCTGGGAATTGAACTCAGGACCTCTGGAAGAGCAGTCAGTGCTTTTAACCTCTGAGCCATCTCTCCAGCCCCCGGTCCTTCAGTTTTTAATTGTTTACAAATTCCACTTATTTATGACTGTGTAGATGTGTGCGTGGATGTGCCACAGCTGGTAGGTGGAGCAGCCTGTAGGTCAGAGGGCAACCTGCCGAAGTCAAGTCTCTCCCCAACCATGTGCCAGCCGGGGCATCGAACTTAACCCCTCAGGCTTGGCAGCAAGCATCTTACCTGCAGGGCCGCCTCACGGGCCCACGGGATGTTGGTTTGTGAGACTCTGAGATGCCTGCTCCTTCCCTGATTCTGTGACATCTTCCCCCGGAGGGGTGGCTTCACACATCACGTACCTCAATGAGGAGCTAGTGACAGACCTCGTGACTCAGCTCCAAGGCCACCCCCAACTATCTTTCCACAAAGCCCAGGCTCCTCCCCGAGGCTACTCACCCTCCACAGTCTCCTTCATCCGAATCTTCTCCTCAGAAAGGTCATTGGGCTCGATCACCTGAAAGGACAGTCCTGTAAGAGGGCACACCTGCCACCCTGCCCAGGTCAACTTACACCTCAACCTGTGAGAAGGGACTCTGGGGATGCAGGGACCCAATATGCCAGCAGGGGGCGCAGACACACCTGGACTCTTCTGATTAAAGAGAAGCCCAGGTTAGCTTCCAGAAGCTCCCTCAAAGGATTCCCCTGCAGCCCCTGAAACACTATTTTGGGGAGTAAGGAACAAAGGATGGACCTTAGGGCTTCTCCATATTAGGCAGATGCTCTAGGCCATGCTCCTAGCCCCTCACTGGGTGATTCTAGGCAGGGGCTCTACCACTGAGTCACACTCCCATCCCCTCACTGGGGGATTCTGGGCAGGTGCTCTACAGCTGAGCCACACCCCATCCCCTCACTGGGGGATTCTAGGCAGGTGCTCTACTGCTGAACCACACCCCAGCCCCTCACTGGGGGATTCTAGGCAGGTGCTCTACCACTGAGCCACACCCCAGCCCCTCACTGGGGGATTCTAGGCAGGTGCTCTACCACTGAGCCACACCCCAGCCCCTCACTGGGGGATTCTAGGCAGGTGCTCTACAGCTGAGCCACGCCCCAGCCCTTTTTAATTTTTCATTTTCACCGCTGACTCATTAGGTCGTATAAACCAGCTTTCAACTCACTCTGTAGCCTCAAGTCTGTGGTCCTCTGACCTCAGCTTCCTCGGTGGCTAGAATTATGGTATTGTATCACCGGGTCTGGTTTGGACATCTCCTTGACTAAAAATGTCTATTACTTTAAGTTGGTGTCTCTTTTCTTGAGAGCTGCCTTGGGAATCTTTCCAACTGTTTCTAGGAAACTGGTCTTGATGCTCTAGTCATAAAACAAACACTGAATGTATACAGCAGAGCTCAGGGCCAGCTCTCCTACGGACTTCCTTAAACTGCCTTCTTCCAATACTTAATTAATAGTAAACTCAGAAGCCAAGGAAGGAACAGCTGACTGAAAAAGACAAACTGAGGATCTGGGTAGACGACTCAGTTGGTAAAGTACTTGCCTTGAATTCAGTAGGGCTTGAGTTTGGGCCCCAGAACCCAAACTAAAAAAAGCTGGGCTGGGCAGTGGTGGCGCACACCTTTAATCCCAGCACTTGGGAGGCAGAGGCAGGTGGATCTCTGAGTTCGAGGCCAGCCTGGTCTACAGAGCGAGATCCAGGACAGGCACAAAAACTACACAGAGAAACCCTGTCTCAAAAAACAAAAAAAAAAGAACAAACAAAAAAACCAAAAAGCTGGGCACAGCTGGGTGTGGTGGCATACATACACCTTTAATCTCATCCCTGGGAAGTAGAGACCAGATGGTGCTGGGTGGCCAGCCAGCCAGCCTAGCCTACCTCGGGTCCTCCAAGCCAGTTAAACGTGTCAAAAAACAAAGTAGATGGTACCCAAGGCTGACCCCTAGCCACCACACATATGCATCCCATGCACACCTATCAGCAAGGTGGAATATGGTGTCTCGAATCTGGAATCTTAGCACTTGTGAGGTAAAGGCAAGGGGATCAGGAATGTAGGGCTATCCTTAGCTACAGAGTGAATTTGAGGCTAGCCTGAGACCCTATCTTAGATAAGCAAACAAATAAGAAATGTCTCTCTTCCTGGGAGAAAGGCTACAGACAACTGGTTCCCTAAACAGCACGCTCCAGAGAGAGACTGTGCATGGATTAAACCTTAGCTGGTCCCTCATAAATTTTAAGTGAGATATTAGAGGCTGGAGACATGGTTCAGAAGTTAAGAGTGTGTACAGCCCTTGCAGAGGACCTGAGTGCAGTTCCCAGCACCTGAGTTAGGGGGCTCATGGCCACCTGGACTCCAGCTCCAGGGGATCTGAAGCCTCTGGCCTCCATGGGCATTGGTACTCAACATGTGCATACCCACACTGAATTAAACACAATAAATCCTGGACCAAGGCAGGGCTCAGCTGATGTGAAGCTCAGAGCCAGTTAAAGCATCCTTCCTGGGCCCACTGGAGTGGACGTGGTCCTCCATACTCCTTGACCTCCCCCAAGGACAAACAGGGCATGCTTAGTTGGAGCAAGGATAAGATAGCTGGGCATCTGGATTTAGAACCAAACAGGTCATGGTGGCTATGGCCTCTCCAGAAGAAAAAGAGACATCTTTGGGTCCCTGGGTAGGCGTTTGATGAGACAAGGACCTGGGAGGGGCAAGAGCTTCCTTCTGCATGTGTGCCCACTTTGGGGGGTGACACCTGAGTACTGGGTACCAGGAGAGCAACAGGAGACACTGGGCAGCCCGTTCAATAGACCCTGAGCGTGTGCTTTGTCATGCTAGGGATGGGACCCAGGACCTAAGTGAGGACTTATGCTAGGCTAGTGTTCTATCACCGAGCCACGCAAGTGCTCGGCCACTGAGCCACACCCTTGGCCCATTTTTTTTTTTTTAATTAACTTTGAAACAGAATCTCACTAAGTTGCTGAGCCTGGCCTTGAACTTGCAATCCTCCAATTCTCAGCCCTCCAGTCTAAATCAATCAGGGTTCAGGGGCTGGCAAAATGGTGCTTCACCGGCTCTCAAAGCCCATCTATGAAGGACCAGGCAGGGTCAGCTCAGACCGCGCTGGTCCCAGTGATCACCATGACTCTGAGGGATGATGGAAGCGCCTCCTCGGAGCCCCCTTTGGCTAGCTCCAGGCAACTTGTAGGAAAACGCTCCCCGCCTGGCACACAGAGGCCACCCCCTCCCATGTCCCTCCCCAGCCGGGCCCCCGACAGGAGCAGAGTGCCGCCTACATGGCTGTGCTGGGCTGAGCACAGGGACTCGGCGGCCTGGAGTCTATTCTCGGCAACCAGAAGCTTTTCCCGCAGCCGCTCTGCCTCCTGCCTGCTCTGGGCTTCCGCCCTCTGCAGCACCTCATAATCCAACATCTTCTTCTCGGCCAGTGAGATCTGCTCTTTGAGGAACTCTATGGCCTGCGCCTGGCCACGGTACTCCGCATCCAGTCCCTCCAGCTCCTGCACGCGCAGCTGGGCGTCGCGACACTGGTCCTGTGCTTCCTGTAGCTCCAGCCGGTGCTGGCTGGCCTGCTCCTCCAGCTGCGCCCTCCAGTGTTGCTGCAGCCCCGCCAGCTCCTCCTGGGCCTCCTGCAGCTTCTGCCGCAGGCCCTCCTTCTCCTTCCCGTGCATGGCTGTCTCCAAGTCGTGCTTGGCCTGCAGGTTGCCCAACTCCAGCTGGTGCTCCATCTTGATGCCCTCCACCAGGGCCTTTAGCTCTCCAATCTCCTTCTGCTGGGCGCCTGGGCCGGAGTTCAGCGTGGCTTTCAGGTCCTCCAGGGACTTCTGGTGATCGGAGGCCAGCGAGTCCAGCTTGGATTTCCAGTTGTCCATGAGTCCCATGTTCTCGCTGGTGGCCTGCTGGACCTTGGCCTTGAGGTCCGCCACCTCCTGCGCGTACTTCTCATTGGCCGCCCGGAGCTTGTCCACCTCGGCCTGGTAGGTCTTTAGCATCTTCTCATACTTGTCCTGCAGCAGGGTGCTGTCTCGCTGGTGCTCCTTGCTGGCCGACAGCAGCCGCTCACGCAGCCGCAGGGTCTCAGCGGCCTCCGGGTGGTCCTGGGGTGGCGGGCCCGACTGGAGGAGACAGTGCTGCAGCTCTTCGATCTCGCCGCGCCGCAGGCTCAGCTCTTCCTCTAGCTGCAGTACCCGAGACTTCTCGGCCACCGTGGTTAGCTAGCGTGAGAGAAAGGGAGACAGGTCAGTGGTCAAGGCTGAAGGCAGGGGGACACACCTGATGGGGAGGGGAGGCAGTCAGATGATGGGGAGGTGCTTATCTCTATAGCTAGGTACTTAGCTTTTCTCGGGGACCCTCGTGTACCCCCAAATGATGGGGTAAACCACACGTCCTTGTTGCTCAGGTGGACTCTGAACCCATCGGTGCATGAGAGAAGTTTGAGTTCAGGACTCTCTAGACGCTAACGCTCTACGTGTATGCCTATCTCGGCAATCCTCTTGCCTCAGCTTCCCGAGTGCTGGGGTTACAGGCATGGGCCACCATGCCCAGCTGGATAAACTTGTTCTGACTTGCAGTCTGGCTGAGCCCGTCTAGAGGGCGCTAACCCAGCCAGCGAGGTTCCCGCACATCGCATTCTGCCACACACAGTGCCATACGATCACAGGCAATTGGCCGGTGTGCACGTGAACCCATGGGTCTCCAGACACCCACGCGCCCTGCGGTGCTGTGGCCACTGTGCAGAAACTGAGCCCTTGCCTCAAGCCTCCCTCTGTCTGCAGGTGGTTCTCCTGATCAACGCTGCTCGGTCAAAACTCCTCCCAGCAGAGCCACAGCTGGACTGGCCAGCTGTCTGGACATATGGACGGGACATGTACAACAGGTGTGGAGGGGCCGGCTGGGCCTGAGGTGTGGAACACAGAACCACACCCTAGGATTGACCCGACCATGCAGCTTCTCAGGGCCTCCCTGACACACTGTATGGCCATGTTCAGACTCAGAGATGGACATAGTCTCGTCCTTTGGGGATACCCCAGCGTATGAAAAGGCCCACTTCCTGAGCCCCAGGTCCTCCAGGTTGGCCCTCTACTGCCACCCTAAGACTCTCTAGGCTAGAGCCCCTGGGATCTGCGTTCCCGTTCTCTGAGCATGGACAAAGGAAGCTGGTGTCCACCCAAGACCACCAACACCACTCCCAGGAGGCTTCTCTGTGGCAATGCACAGGAAGGGGGCCCAGGGGAAGGTCTCAAAGAGACGCCTCAGCTCAAGGAGCCATGAACTTGGCTGCAATCCCAGAGGACCAACACCCCCTTCCCTAAGAGCACCATTTGGCTGCAGTGACCGGAAATCTCCATTTCCCTCCCGAAGGGGAGCAGAGAAGGAAATTCTAAAAAGTGAGAGCAGCCATCGCGATGGCTGAGGAAATGATAAAAAGCAAAGGGTGGGGATTGAGGGGCCAAGGGGCCGGCCAGGTGGGGTGGCAGCAGCCGGCGCGGTTTACCCTGTTATCCGCTAATTCTCTGAGCAGCCGCTCGGCCTGCGCCTTCTCCAAAAGCAGACTCTGCTCCAACTCCCCAATGCGCGCGTGCTCCAGCTGGGTCTGGGTCTGCTCCACCCAGGGGGGAGAGGGGATGGCGGGGCGGACAAGGAAGGCAGGGGTGTGGGGAAGAGGGCACAGGGAACAGGAAGCCGGAGAAAGAGAGAAAGGGAGTGAGAAAGAAACAGAGAAAGAGAGAGAGAGAGAGAGAGAGAGGAGGCGTCATCTTCAGTGAACAAGACTGTGAAAACAGATCAATGAGCCGGAATCGCTTGGGGGAAGAGAGAGAGGGTCTCAGAAGTGGGGTGCGTGAGGGGCTGGGTGTCCTTCCCTCACTGTGATCTAGCTGTGAGTATATTCAAGGCAGAGGAGGCTGTGGGAACCATCCCTTGCCAGCCTCTGGTAATGTGGTGGCCATGGCTACCCCAGTTTCTTCCCAACACTTTTTTATTTTGTTTTGTTTTGTTTTTTCGAAACAGGGTTTCTCCTGTGTAGCCCTGGCTGTCCTGAAACTCCGCTCTGTAGACCAGGCTGGCCTTGAACTCACAGAGCTCCACCTGCCTCTGCCTCCTAAGTGCTAGGACTAAAGGCGTGCGCCACCACCGCCCTGCTGTTCCTACTACTTTTAAGCCCAGCCTTTTCCTGCTGCTGCTCTGGGAGCCTGTGGGCTTCTTTAGGGTTTTTTTTTTTTTTTTTGGAGACAGGATTTCTCAGGCTGGAGAGATGGCTCAGCAGTTAAGAGCACCAACTACTTTTCCAGAGGACCCGGGTTCAATTCCCAGCTCCCACATGGCAGCTCACAACTGTCTGTAATGCCAGTTTCGGGGGATGCGACAAACCATGGCAAACACCAGTGCATATTTAAATAAATTTAAAAAGGAGAGAGAGAGAGAGTTTCTCTGTGTAACAGTCCTGGCAGTCCTGGAACTCGCTTTGTAGCCCAGGCTGGCCTCAAACTCACAGAGCTCCGTCTGCCTCTGCCTCCTGCGTGCTGGGATCAAAGGAGTATGCCACCATGCCCAGCTTTTCACTCTCTCCCTCTCTCTTTTTTTTTTTTAAACTTATTTATTTTAAGAATGAGTGTTCTATCTGCACGTACAATTTTATGCCAGAAGAGGGCATCAGATAGAGGGTTGGGAGCCGCCATGTGGTTGCTGGGAATTGAACTCAGGACCTCTGGAAGAACAGCCAGTGCTCTTAACTGCTGAGCCATCTCTCCAGCCCCTCTCTCTTTTTTGCTAATAACATTTTATTAAGTCATTGTGTATGTGCGTGTGCGCACATGTGTATGTGCACGTGTGTGTGTGTGCGCACGTGTGTGTCTGTGCGTGCACGTGTGTGTGCACGTGTGTGTGTCTGTGCGTGCACGCGGGCACACATGCCACAGTGCACATGAGGGCAGTCAGAAGACAACTTGCAGGAGTCGGTTCTCTCCCCCCACCATGTGGGTCCCAGGGATCAGACTCAGGTGGTCAGGCTTGGCGGCAAGCCCCTTTACCTGCTGGGCCATCTTGTGGGCCCCGCTTGCTTTTGTCGCTACACGGCTCTGGCTGGCCTTGGATGCCCCTCTAGGCCTTGAGCTCACAGATTATCCACATGCCTCTGCCTCCTGAGTGCTGGGACCAACGGTGTGTGCCACCACACCTGTTTTCCTTTGGGTCTTTTGAAACGGGGTTTTGCTCTACAGCCTACCAAGTGCTGGGTTTACACGCAGGCACGTGCCTTCACGTCCAGCTTGAAGTCTTAGAGCATCCTGCACACAGGATGAACGAATGAATGACCCCTGGCTTCAGGACACCCAGGCCTGCATTCAAGGGGGAAAAAATCAACACGACAGGGTTGCCCACATCATCTTGACTTTGTTTTCTTTAGGTTTTTTTTTTTTTTTTTTTTTTTTTTTTTTTTTTTTTTTTTTGAGACAGAGGCTCACTATGTAGCCAAGGCTGACCCCCCCACTCCCCAAGTATGAAGACTGTACCATATGCCCGGCTTGGTCTGGGACTCAGTATGCAACCCAGGATACCCCCTTGAACCTGCAATCCTTCCTCTGCCTCAGGCTCCCTAGCGCTGGGATGACAGGTGCATGCCACCATCCCCGCCTAACGCAACTCACGCCATCTTGATTCTCCTCGGAAGACCTCCTAGGTGGGGACTGGGCTGACACACCCACTGCCCTTCCTGGAGCCTGGCTTGGTCGACATCCCTCCCCCTCCTCCCCCTCCCCCAGGCTCTGCAGAGGACAGAGGACGCCTGGTCTCTGTTAAGTACAAGGGCACTTTTGTCCCCTCTTTACAGCACCCGTTTCATTTGAGAACAAAGCAGGACATTCTCTGGGTGGCACAGGGTTGGCATTTGGATGGCCCGTGATGGATCTCTGCAAGGAAGCAGGAAGGCGGGGAGGACCCACACCCTGGGGTACTCCCAGGAGACCAGACTGGAAACCAGGTTCGTCTCGGGAAGAGTGGGAGGGTGCGGCTCACCCTTAGGGAAACACAGGTTAAAGCAACAGCCTCCCCCTCTGCCCCCCCCCCCCCACAACCCTGCAGCAAGTCTGAAGGGGTGGACGGGGCTTAGACAACGGGGGATAATATTCAGAGGCCAGGAAGACGTGGCCGGCCATGGAGACCGAAAGATTGGAACCTAACAGCAGCCCCTCAGCAGAGGAAGAGGAGGGAGGCCTAAATGAGCAATGATGAGTTTAGTCACTGAAACAGTAGAGGATGGATGGGGTGACCCAGCCCAAGGGGACCAAGTGTCCTGTTTAGGACAGGGTTCACGCTTTCAGTTTTTCAATTTTGACTGCGCATATGTCAGTGTGTGCGTGTTCAGATGCATGTGGAGACCAGAGGTGGATACCAGGTCTTAACCCATCTCCACCCTGTTTTCGGAGCCAGGGTCTCACTGAAACTGGAGCTCACTGCCTAGGCCAACCAGCAGTCTCCAGGGAGCCTGTCTCTGCCTCCTCAGCAACGGAGTTAGACATGTGCCATACCTGTTTCTAATCAGAGTGCTGGGGATTCAAGCTCAGGCTCTCTATTGATTATCGGCACCGCGGGCCCCCAATTAGGGGGTCCTAGGCAGGTGTTCTTCTGCTGAGTCATGTCCCCAATGTGGGTTTCTAGGTAAGCTATCTACTGAGCCACGCCTCCAGCCCTTGGTTTTGACATAAAAATCTTTTTCCGATTTATGTATTTATTTTATGTGTGTAAATGTATCGCCTGCATGTATGTATAACACCAACATGCATGTGCAGTGCCTTTGGAGGCTAGAAGGCATCAGATCCCCTGGAACTGGAGTTACAGATGGTTGTGAACCATCATGTGGGTGTTAGGAGCTGAACTCCGATCCTTTGAAATAACAGCAGATACTCTCAACCACGGAGCCATCTCTGTAGTGCCAGGTTTTTTGTTTGTTTTTGGTTTTTCGAGACAGGATTTCTCTGGATAATAGTCCTAGCTGCCTGGAACTCACTTTGTAGACTAGGCTGGCTTTGAACTCACAGAGATCTGCTTGTCTCTGCCTCCTAAATGCTGGGATTAAAGGCGTGTACACTCAGCTAGTTTTGATTTTTTTGAAAAAAAAAAAAAGATTTGTGTGTGTATGTGTGTCCATCCGTCCATGGGTATATGTTCAGGTCCCCATGGAGGTTAGAAGAGGGTGCTAGAACCCTTAGGGCTGGAGATCCAGGAGGCTGTGAGCCATGTGGGAACTGAACCCCAGGATCTCTGGAAGTGTAGCAAGTACTCTTAACCACTGAGCCTTCTCTGTAGACTCTTGGTTTGTCTTTTAAGATGAGTGGGGAAACAGCATGGTTACAAGCCTGTAATCCTGGTACTTGCAGGCTGAGGCAGGAGAATTCTAAGTTCCAGGCCAGCCTGGGCAGTCTCGAAACAAAACCAAACCAAACCAAGTGTGTGTGGGGATAAATTGGACTTTAGCAGGATTCACATTCTGGATGCTCCAAACAGGGTCACAATTTAGTCTTTAGAATAAAAAAAACGGAAGCTGGATGTGACAGACCTTCTGGCTACATTGGCTGGGTCACTGTCCGTCCTGTCCCCCTGCCTCAATGCCCGCGCCAGCCTATTGGCAGGCCTGGGACCAACCAGATTCTCTCCAGGGGATAACTGGGTGGTAACGTCTGGCAGTCTGGAACAGGGAGCAGATGTAGTAAGAGACACAGACAGACAGGCGGCGGCAGACAGACAGGTTGACCCGGAGTCACCAAGGGTCTGTGAGCACCTGGTACCACCCTGGCTCCAGTTCCTTGAACTGCCCGCCCTGGGCGGTGAGCACATGTGCATTTCCCGGTAATCCATCATTGCCTAAGCCTCTGTTGATGGGAGCAGGTGGAGGGGGCTCAGTTCTGGCAGCCCCCCTTTCCCCACAAGCCCACCCATCTGTCCTCTGCAGGGGACTGCTGCCCATCAGATAAGCCAGCTACAACCACCTGTCCTGTTCCTTTGGCTGTAAAAAAAACCACAAATCACAACAGCTTCAGGCTGGGTAAGGATGCTGGTCTCATCTTTTTCCTCCCTCCCTCCTTTCCTTCCTTCTTTTCAGGGTCTCATTTATCCATTTATCCCAGGATGCCCTCAAACTCACAGCATAGCTGAGGCTGGCCCTGAACTCCTGATCCTCCTGCTTCTATTTCCCGAGGTCTGGGATTACAGGTGTGTGCCAACATGTCCAGTTTCTTGTTTGTTTGTTTGTTTTGTTTTGTTTTGAAGACAGAGTCTTACTATGTAGTCCTGCCTGGCTTAGAACTCCACACATAGACCAGACTAGCCTTGAATTTGCTCTGTAGCCAAGGATGACTTTAACATCTATCCTCCTGCCTCTACCTCCCCATACTAGGTGCCCTACCTCGCTGAGATTTGAACCCATGGCCTCACACATGCTAAGCACGTACTCTACCGACTGACCTACATCTCCCGCTCCCTTTTTACTTTTTTCTTGACAAGCTCCTGCTAAGAAGTACAGGCTGATTTGGACTTGGTGTGTAGCCCAGGCTAGCCCTGAACTTCCAATCATCCTGCTTCAGCCACTCTAGAAAGCTAGGGTGCCACCAAGCCCAGACCAGTCTGAGTTGAGCCCAGAAATGACCTATGGCTGTGACTTCCAAGGTCCTTCAGGAACTTGGGAATTAGTCACACATGCAGACCACTGGGTCTCAGCTGTGTTTAAACAAGTCCCACACAACCCGGGTGGTGGGGACACACGCCTTTAATCCCAGCACTTGGGATGAAGAGGCAGGCAGATCTCAGTGAGTTCAAGGCCAGCCTGGTCTACAGAGCGAGATCCAGGACAGCCAGGACTGTTACACAGAGAAACCCTGTCTTGAAAAAAACAAAACAAAACAAAACAAAAAAACCAAGCCCCACAGGAACGGACACTCGGGCCTGACCACCTGTAATGGGCTTCGACTGTTTCATTTTACAGGGAGGAAGCGCAGGGCAGCCAAAGGGAAGTGACTTCCAGAGGCCGGACAGGCCAGAGACGGGACAGGAAGAGCTTGGCTCGCTGACCCACTCGGCTGCTCCAGCTCTGCCGTTTGCTCTCCTTTCCAAGGGACATCAAGAGACAGAATAGGAAAAGTGACCAAGGGTGGTCTCCTGATCTCAGAGGTCTCTACAGGCCTTAGGGGCAGGGCTAGATGCCCCCTGAATGGACCGAAGGCCCCCCTTGTCCCTAACTCAGCACAGTGTGTTTCCTAGGACACACTAGGGACAATCCCGGCTGTGTCCACACCATGCATACAGGTGGCAATATGGAGAGGGTACAGGCTGGACCAGGACCCAACAATCGCCGTCTCTGGTGCCCACACTTGCTAGCTGGTTATAGCATTGGGAAAATCTCTACCTTCCTGAGCTCTGGTCCCCCACCCCCTTCATATAGCCCAGGCTAGCCTTAAACTCACTAGATAGCTGAGGATGACCTTGAACTTGATCGTGCTCCATCTGCCTCCCCAGGGCTGTGGTAACAGGCTTGTGCCACTACGCCTGGTTTACGTGGTACTGGAGACGGAAGCCAGAACTCATGAGTGCCAGGCAAGCACTCTGCCAGCTGAGATACAGCCCAGCCAGTGAGCCCTAGTTTCAGCCATCTGTAAATTCTGTGATCCCAACTGCTCCTTCGAGCCAGGCCCATGTCCAGGCTCCCAGAGTCTGGCTCCTATGTTGTTAGGTAAAGACCTAAAACGTCAGGGACCTCACTCAGTCTGTCCCGACTCTACCTTCAACCGAGAACATAATCATGACCATTTCTAACACCAGATGGCCTAAGGCCTGCCCCTCCTCCTCTCCTCCATGAAGGGGGCCTTTGACTCTTCCCCATTTTTCCGTTGAGTCACCCCGGCCTCCCCATGGAGGATTGCTGCCTGAATGCCAAGGCCATTTCCCATAGCAAGGACTGGGCCCACAGAGCTAGGTGAGCAGGCGAGGACTGCACCCGTTACCTCCAAGTCTCCTTTGGTGATGGATTCTTCTTCCACCCGGAACTGCAGGTCTTCCACCTTCCTGTGGGCAGGAAAAGAGGCAGAGGTGGGCTTTGGTGGCCAAGGATATGGCTCAGTGGTAGAGCACCTGCCTAGAATCCCCCAGGGAGGGACTGGGGTGTGGCTCAGTGGTAGAGCCCCTGCCTAGAATCCCCCAGTGAGGGGCTGGGGTGTGGCTCAGTGGTAGAGCACCTGCCTAGAATCCCCCAGTGAGGGGCTGGGGTGTGGCTCAGTGGTAGAGCCCCTGCCTAGAATCCCCCAGTGAGGGGCTGGGGGTGTGGCTCAGTGGTAGAGCACCTGCCTAACACATGGGAGGTCCCTGGTTCCATCCACAGCCCCATTCCTTTGTCTCTATCTCACACACACACACACACACACACACACACACACACACACACACACACGCGCGTGCATGCACAAAGGCAAACGTATGTGCACCAGGGCCAGCTATGAAGGTGGCAGCATCAGAAGATCTCAGGGACCAAGCTTAAACTTCAAAAGGTCTGTCCCCACATAACCAGGAACTACCTGGAATCCTGCAGGTGAGGAGGGGCAGAACCTTCTGGAAGCCTACTGCACTGAATACAAGCCTCCTTCCTCTCAGGATGGCCATAGAAGACAATAGTCTGAGCCAGGTGTGGTGTGCACAGCCCTGGGAGGTCAAGGCAGGAGGCCTGGGAGGTGGAGGCCAGCCTGAGCTACATAGTGAGACCTTGCCTCAAAACACCAAATCAGGACAGTGGTGGCTCTTCAGCGGGCATACTGTGCCAAGTGGCCCTATCTCAGCAAAGAGGATGAGGGAGGCCAGGGGGCTTCCTGTTTGCTCACTCCACTCTCATCCTCAAAGTTGAGAGCGGAGGTCCCATCATGCATTTCCTGGGCTGCCCACTGATGTAGAAGTTCCCCCTGGACCTCACTGCAGGAGTCAGGGGCTCCCTTCGGGGACACATGTTCACCCATACACACGGCAAAGAAGCACAGGCCGGGGACACGGCACTACCTCATACTGCCATTTACAAACGGGGCTTGCTGACAGCTGACAGGGCCTGTAAGGTAACTGAGGGAAGAAAGCAATGTTGGGCCCTGCACCGAGGCCCTTGGTGAACACAGCTCCCATGATGCCTTATTTTGAATTAAAAAAAATCGTTTGAGCTTGTACATAGTTTATGGATGGGAGTGTAGGAGACCATGGTTTGATGGTGTGTGTGTGTGCGTGCGTGTGTGTGTGTGTGTGTGTGTGTGTGTGTGCGCGCGCGCGTACATGTGTATACATATGCCCAGAGGCCAGAAGAGGACATTGGGTATCCCGCTCTCTCACTCTACCTTATTCCCTTGAGCAGGGTCTCTCACTGAACCTGAAGCTCGACTGGCAACCAACAAGCTCCAGGGTTCCACGTGGCTCTGCCCCATCCCTCCAACACTAGGGTTACAGGCACATGTGGCCATACCCAGCTTTACACAGGGGCTGGGGATTTGAACTCAGGTCCTACAGTTTGTGAGGAAAGCGCTCTTACCCGCTGAGCTCCATCAGGGTGATGTTCTCTATCACTCTCCACCTTCTTTTTGTTATGGTGGGCTCTTATTGTTGTTGTTTTGGTTCTTCTGAGATAAAGTCTCGCTATGTAGCCCTGCCTCGCCTGGAACTGTCTATGTAGACTAGGTTGGCCTTGAACTCACAGAGATCTGCCTGCCCCTGCCTTCCCAGTGTTGTGTGGAAAGGTGCAAGGTCTCTCACTGAATCTGGTGGCGCTAACTGGATAGACCGTCTGGCCAGGGAGCTCTGGGGGTCTACAGTGCTCTGTACAGCCGGTGTATGGGTTACAGAAGTGTGTGACCATGCCTGTCTTATAGCGAGGAATCTGGATTCAGGCCCTTTCGCAGCGGGCACTTTACCAATTGAGCCATCTCCCAGCCCCCACCTCATGATGCCTTAAAAGGCTGTTTTTTTGTTTTCTGGCATGAGATGCATCGCCATGGGAACCAGATGTGTAGGCCCCGACTACCATCTCATGCAGATATAAATAAACCCTCACTTCCCCTAGTGAGAAGACAGTAACTGCAGGACTCGGCTGAATGCCCAAAACAGATGCAAATGGGGGTGTCAGGACCAGGGGCTGCTGCCAGCATGGGGGAAGGAAAGGCCATACAGAAACCCGGCACCTCTTGGGAAGGAGGTGACAAGAGCCGGCTCTGTATTCCAGCAGGCGACCCAGGAACAAGACAGGCCCTGTGTCTCCGGTTGGGGCTGATGGACAAACGCCTGCGTCTTTCCATGGGTGCTTCCCATCAGTGTGCTCCTGTTCCTGACCTTCGTTAAGGGCTTTTCTAGGGAACCAGGAGTTGGGGGAACTTCTGCTCCATCCCTGGGGCAGCCTCAAAAAATTGACGTATGGGCCAGCAAGATGGCTCAGTGAGGAAAAGTGCTTGCCACAAAGCCTGCCGACCTGAGTTCGATCCCCAGGACTCACACAGTGAAAGGAACGGGTGGCCATAAGTTGCTTTCTGATGGCCACACACACGCCCCCTGCCACCCAATTAGACACAAATAAATTGTTTTTAATTGATAGACATGCCGGTGTGTGAGGTGGCACACACTGGTTATCCCCGCATTCAGGAGGCTGAGGCAGAAGGATCATGAGTCGGAGGCTAGTCTAAAGTGCACAGGATGACCCTGCCTCACGGGAAAAACAAAAACAAAAATGGAGACTGGGGAGAAAACTCACTCAGTGAACACATGCACACACGAGCGAACACACACACACACACACACACACACACACACACACACACACACACACACACAAAGTTGTTTTTTGTTTGTTTGTTTGTTTGTTTGTTTTCTAAGACAGGGTTTCTCTGTGTAGCCCTGGCTGTCCTGGAACTTACTCTGTAAAGACCAGGCTGGCCTCGAACTCACAGAGATCTGCCTGCCTCTGCCTCCCGAGTGCTGAGTTTAAGGGTGTGCACCACCACCGCCTGGCTTTAAGTATTTTTTAAAAAGAACCCAAGGCCACGATTCCTGCCTAGGGATTAAACTCAGGCGTATGCAGGCTCTACAGGCACCCTCTCACTAGGCTACAGCTCTTTCTTCAGAAGGGTTTAGATAACATCTTGCTATGTAGCTCTAGCTGGCATGAAACCTGCTATGTAGCCCAGGCTATCCTCAAACTGTCAGCAATCCTCCTGCCTCAGTCTCCTTCATGCTGGGCTTATAAACCTGAGCCATCATACCTGGTCTAAGCCCTTGCTGTTTTTTGTTTGTTTGTTTTGAAACAGGGTTTCTCTGTGTAGCTTTGGTGCCTGCCCTGGATCTCACTCTGTAGACCAGGCTGGCCTCGAACTCACAGAGATCCGCCTGCCTCTGCCTCCCGAGTGCTGGGATTAAAGGCGTGCACCACCACCGCCCGGTGCCCTTGCTGTTTTATTCTTTCTTTCTGAGACAAGGTCTTATGTAGCCCAGGCTGGTCTCAAACTCACTACCAAGCTGATCAGGACTCTGAACTCCTGATCTTCCTTCTATCTTCTGAATGTTGAGATTATAGGCATGGAATACCACTCTCTGTTTATGTGGTGCTGGGACTCAAACCCAGGGCTTTGTGTATGCTAGACAAGCACTCTACCAACTGAGCTACATCCCCGACCACATTTTGTTTGTTTGTTTGTTTGTTTTTATTTGAAGGCTGTTGTGCTTGGTTGCCCAGGCTGGCCTTGAACTCAGTACATAGCCCAGGCTAGGCTGGAACTACTGATTCCACCTATTTCAGGCCCCAAGTGCTAGGATTACAGACAGGCCTATGCTGCTCCGCCCAGCTCCCCACACCCCCCCCCCCCCACTCATTCACTGGGCTCTGACATGCCGCACTCTGGCCCCGCAGGCGCCCGGCAAGTACCTCCTCTCCTCCTCCAGCTGATTGGACAGGTCCACCTTCTCCTTCCTCACGTTCTCCACCAGCAACCGCGCCCGCTGCAGCTTCTCCTCGGCTTCTGCAACATACTGACCCAGACAGAGCAAGGCCAGGACAGGGTCAAGTCAGTTCCAGCCTGCTCTTGGGGACAGGACAGAAGCAGGGGAGGTGTAGGAGGGGAGGCCCCTGTTCCCTGCTGGCCCCAGCTAGGCAGGGAGAGTGAACCAGACATGAAGAGGGGGGACCCAGCAGGGAAGGAAGCAGAGGCCCCCACGATGTGTGTGTGTGTGTGTGTGTGTGTGTGTGTGTGTGTGTGTGCGCGTGCGCGCGCGAGTGCTAGGTTCCTCTGAGCATATACATGAGGTTGGCTTTATGATAGTTGGCTTCTTATTGGTTTGTTTTAATACTGGAGATCAAACCCAGAGCCCTGTATATGCTCGGCAAGTGCACTAATGCTAAGCCGCGCCCCCAGCCCTTCACTGGGGTCTCCAGGCAAGTACTCCACCACTAAACTCCATCCCAGCCCTGAGGTGACCGTATTAATCCAAGCCCCCAAGCATCCGGGGAAGGATGAGCTAGCTCACCAATGGGCACAGGGGCCCAGAACAGGACCTCATACAACAGACAAGCATTACGTCAGGTGTGGTGGCACAGCCCTGTAATCCCAGCACTTGGGGAGGGGAGGCGCTTGAGTTCAGCTAGCCTGTGCTACACAGTAAGACTGTTTGAAGAAAAAGAAAAAAGAAAAAAAGAAAAGTAGGAGGCTGGGAAATTTGGCTCTGTGGTGGAACATAGGCCTAACATGTATAAACTCAAAGGCTGGATCTCTATTATTGCAAAAATGCATTCATACAAACATCAGGAATGAAGCACAGGATAGGTAACAATAAACCCTAGGCTTAGGGTAAGCGGCTCTCTCCCACGGATGTGTGTGCCTCAAAACATTATCTGAAACATGAGCAGTCTTATCCCCAGAGATGGACCATTTCAGCTAACAATCTGGACACAGCGTGGGGAATTTCAACAAAGTATAATTTGTGTGTGTGTGTGTGATGCTGAGGATTGAACCTACGGTCTATACACACGAGACAAGTGATCTACCACTGAGCTACATATGCCTCAACCCCAATACCTCAACTATCACCGAAGTAGGGGGGAGAAAAATGGCTGAGTGGGTACAGGCGCCAAGCCTGATGGCCAGAGTTCAGTCCACGTGTCCACATGATGGACGGAGAGAACAGATGACCCCAAGCTGTCCTCTGACCTCCACATGCACACTGTGACACATATCATCCTTTCTCACAAAATAAATAAATTAAAATGTACCAAAAAGTTTTTAGAAAAAGAGAAAAACTGGTCAGCCGGGCGGTGGTGGCGCACGCCTTTAATCCCAGCACTCGGGAGGCAGCGGCAGGTGGATCTCTGAGTTCGAGGCCAGCCTGGTCTACAGAGTGAGGTCCAGGACAGCCAGGGCTACACAGGGAAACCCTGTCTTGAAAAAGAAAAACAAAAGAGAGAGAAAAACTCAGCCAGGTATGGTGGTTTACCCCTGCAATGCCAGCACTAGGGAGGAGGAGGTATTACAGAAATGTAAAGAGTTTGAGGCTAGCCTGGATAACAGGGTGAGCTCCAGGCCATCCTGGGCTACAAAGGGAGACTCTGTCTAAAAAAACAACAAAAATAGAAAAGTAAGTCTCCCCTGACCTAGAAAACACTGGTACTAGAGTACTAAAATCAGGACGCACAGGTTCAAAGGCAGATTCTGAACTTGATCTTGGCCAAAGGGCTGAGAAGTAGTTATGGGCCTCCCTCCAAGAGGGGTCCCTCAAAGGAATCCTATCTTGGAGGCAAACCTATTAAAATGCAGGCTGTTCTAAAGGGAAGTAAAACAGTCCATCTTGTAGAGGAGCTTGTGGTGAAAACTCAGGAAATAAACAACTCAATAGCTTCAGGAAGTCCCTGAAACTGACAAAATTCACTATGGCCCTTCCCCTGATGCTTATATAAGCAAGGGAGAGCTCTCAAATGAGACAAGCCGCCTGTGAGAGGCCCAAACCAATCGAGCTCACTAGCAGAGACACTTTCCAAGCTGTTGAGCTGGCTATAGGTGGTGCCGTGTGCTCTGGGTTTCCAACTTTCATGACCATATTTAGCATCTCCAGCCTTTTTGGGAAGAGGTGTTCCAAGCACCCTAGAGCCCGCCAGCCACCCACCTGCTCATGCTGTGCCTTCAGCAGGGCGATTTCCTTCTCCACCTCGCAGATGTGGCTGGTGGCCTTGGCCACTTCGGCCCTCTCCAAGTCACGCTCCACCAGCAGCTGTTCGATATGCTGCTGCTTCTCCTTCAGGGCTTCCTGCAGGGCTGTGGTGCCTGAGATCTTCCGGGCGTAGCGTGAAGAGGTCTCCGTGAGCTGGAGAGAGTGGTCACGGGTGGGACTCAAGATACCGGCGGTGGCGTAGCTCAGCTTGCTCTCCACTGGCCTCACGTCAACTAACACAGAACGGGAAGCCTTGCGCTTTCCTGTCAGTGCCCCAGGATGCCCTAAACTCACTTGCTGATTCACCCTCAAAGGTAACACGATGGCTGAGGTTCCCCTTTCAACAGGGCTGCCTCACCTTGGCCAGCTCCACTCTAGACCAAGCGGTACCAAAGTCCTTCCGACCAAACCCGAGTGGCTTCCTCTCCTCTCCTCACCTAGGGTCCCCGAAAGTCTTTTGGAATTCCCTCCTTATATCTACCCCACACTGTTTACCCAGGGAAGATGACCAAGAAACCAGCCGTAACAATAACAAAACATGTAAGTGGATCAGTTTTTCCTATGAAAAGATCACACACCCCCACCCCAACCCCAATCCCCACCCCAACCCCAACCCCAAACCCAACCTAGGGATGCCTGGAATCAGCAAGCTGGGGACAGAAAGACACTTGATCCTACCTCCACCCTTACTATCAGAGTTCTCCAACTCCCCAACTTCTACACTTACCAGACCACTACGGCTGGGCCGGCCGCCCACGGAGGAGGCCACGGAGCTGACGGAGCTGATGGAAGAGCTGCTGGGACTGTGGGTCAAGGCCGAGACACCCATAGCCATTCGTTTGGTCTTCTTGGCCTTGGCTGGGCTGGTAGACGGGAAGCCAATTCGGATGACCTTGTGGATGGGTGCAAAGAGACCGAACTTGGGTGGGCACTGGAAATACCTGGGGAGCATGAGAGAGCCAGAGCGATGCCATCATTTCTTGGGGTCTCCCCTGCTTCCTACTCCATCTCAGTGCCCCAAAAGATACGGATTAGGCCCTGCCAGTCACATCCCAAAGTGAAAGTCCTCCACACGGAGGAGTCAGACATGGCGGTGCACACCTGTAATCCCAGCGCTCCAGAGGTGGAGGCAGGGGGTTAGGAGGACCGGACTGCCAAGAATTTACAGCTGGAAATAATATTAAGAAGCCTGCTGTCCATCACACAGAAGCGGCAGGAGAATTAAGATGGGAGCTCCCAGGATGCACTGCTCCCAGAGCCTACAAACTAGGATACCCCAGCCGCAACTTCAGTTGCTCTGCCTCCTAATGGAGAGCTGGTGCTCTCTATTCCCCGGGAGCCCCTGGCATAGAGAAGAAAAACCCTGAAGTAGATGTAGCTAGAGGATACGGAGTTCAAGGCCAGCCTCTGCTAGAGAGTGAATGAGAAGCTGGCCTGGGCTCCACAGGACCGTTTCAGAAAGGAGGGAGAGTGCAGGACACCTGCAGCTCTTTTGCATCACTTAGGAAACACAGAGGTAAACAGAGACTCGTGTTTCTGCCTTCCTAGTATTCCCCCTAACAAGGGAACACAGAACAGAGGGACTCTCTTAGTGCTTGCCTGTAACAATGACCTCTGGCCTTAGTTCTCGTGTCAATCAAATGGGATGATCATGCCCCCTGCCTAGCCTGACACGCTGCTGGGAGGTAACACGTGTTTATCACAGTGTCTGGTACACACATGGCCACGATTGCTCCGCCCCCTGATCCCCATCCCTTCTGACAATCCTCAGGAAAGCCCACCGTACCTGGTGCCGGCCACAGCCCCATCGTTCTTCCCGAGGGGCTCATCCAGCTCCACGCCACACCACTCGCCTTTGGCAAAGTCCGTCTCCCCGACGTATCGTACCACGCCGGTCTTCGTCCCACCAACCTGTTGGCACATGGAGAGAGGCAGGTCCAGAGGATGCAGGGGACACGGGCTGAGCCTGGCAGAGGGCAGATGAGAGAGAGGAGATACCCACGGACGGCTGGGAGGGACCCGAGTTCCAGTGGGTCACATGACTCCTATGTGGAAGGGCACAGGCTTGGAGAGAGACACACAGATCTGAACTCAAACCCTGCTGTTAAGTTGCAAGAGTTTGGGCAAGCTACAGAACCTCTCTGAATCTCAGCATCTTCATCTACCCAAAGAATTTTTGTGATAATTAAATACTGTATGTACATAGCATTCTGCATGATGCTAGAGCCTTGGTAAATGCTCTCAGTAAAAATACAAAAGCAGTTTTCAGGGCTGGGGGTGTGGCTCAGTGGCAAAGCACCTGCCTAGAATCTCCCAGTGAGGGGCTGGGGTGTGAGTGGTAGAGCACCTGCCTAGAATCCCCCAGTGAGGGGCTGGGGTGTGGCTCAGTGGTAGAGCACCTGCCTAGAATCCCCCAGTGAGGGGCTGGGGTGTGGCTCAGTGGTAGAGCAACTGCCTAGAATCCCCCAGTGAGGGGCTGGGGTGTGACTCAGTGGTAGAGCACCTGCCTAGAATCTCCCAGTGAGGGGCTGGGGTGTGGCTCAGTGGTAGAGCACTTGCCTAGAATCCCCCAGTGAGGGGCTGGGGTGTGGCTCAGTGGTAGAGCACCTGCCTAGAATCCCCCAGTGAGGGGCTGGGGTGTGGCTCAGTGGTAGAGCACCTGCCTAAAATCCCCCAGGGAGGGGTTGGGGTGTGGCTCAGTGGTAAAGAGCTTGTCTAGCACACATGAGGTCCTAGGTTCCATTCCAACACCACGGGAAAATTAAAAGTAGGGCTGGTAAGATGGCTCATCAGGTAAAACCTGTCAGTTGCAACCCTGACAACCTGAGTTCAATCCCTGGAACCCTCAGTAGATAGAGAAAATTGATTTCCAAAGCAGTGCTCTGACTTCCAGATCCATGCTATGACATGCTCATGCGCACATCTACACACATCTACACACACACACACACACACACACACACACACACACACACACTTTAAAATTAAAAAAAAATCAAAACACAAAAGTATAGAGCACTGTTTTAAAAAGTTAATTAAACAAAACTGCAAGCTATACAGACACATAAATTAGAGGCCCAAGTACTTGCAAAACCAGGTCTGGTCTAATTTCCTTTTGTTGCTGTGATAAAACACCCTGACAAGAAGCAACTGAGGGGAGGAGAGAGTTTATTTAGCTCACAATTCCAGGTCATAGTCTAACACCGTGGGGAAGTCGAGGCAGGATATTGAAACATCACATCTACAAGAGCAAATGCACACATTCCCCCCCGGCTTGCTTCTTAAACTCAGTTTTCTCTGTTCTTCTACTGTTCAGGATCTCCTGCCTAGGGAATGGTGCCACCCACTGTGGGCTGGGCCTTCCTACATCACTAATCAAGACCACCCCCTTCCCAGACATGTCCATAAGCCAATGTGACCTGGATAACTCCTCATGAGACTCCCTTTCCAGTTGATTCTAGGTGGTGACAATTAAAAACTAACCAGTACAAAAACAGAAACAAAACAATGACCAGTATACCAGGAGTTTCTCAACCTCCCTAACGCTGTGACCCTTTAATACAGTTCCTCATACTGTGCTGACCCCCACCATAACATTATTTTCCTTGCTACTTCCTAACTGTCATTTTGTTACTGTCATGAATCATAATGTAAAGATCTGTGTTCTCTGAGGGTCTTACAGGACCCACAGGTTGAGAACTGCTGCAATCCACCTTCCAAAGTCCAGAGGCTTCTCTCCTTGCCCCCCCCAAATAAATATCATTTCCTCTTTTGGGTGGGATGGTTCTGTAATCATGCCCATCTCTTTAAATAGCAGGCTTCTGTGCAACTTCTGTTTTAAACTTTTAATGTATTTTTAACTGACACATAAGAATAGCTCGTACTTCACTGGTCCTCTTTTTTTTTTTTTTTTTTTTTTTTTTAACTGACAATAGCTGTTCTTACAAATGGGTACAATGTGATTGTGTGTACAGTGTCCACATGTCTACAGTGTGCACCGTTCAAATCAGGGAACAGTGTTCTATTCCCTGACGTATTCATCTATTTTTTTTTTTTAATAAGGGAGCCTCTGAAGACCCCTCCGATGTTCATGATAAAATACGTTAACAGGGGCTGGAGAGATGGCTCAGAGGTTAAGAGCACTGACTGCTCTTCCAAAGGTCCTGAGTTCAATTCCCAGCAACCACATGGTGGCTCACAACCATCTGTAATGAGATCTGGTGCCCTCTTCTGGCCTGCAGGGATATGTGCAGACAGAACATTGTATACATAATAAATAAATAAATCTTTAAAAAAAAAAAAATACGTTAACAGGGGGCTGGGGATGCAGCTCAGCTGGTAGAGTGCTCGGCTAGCATGCAGGAGGCCCTGGAACCCAACCCCATGTGCACATCTGTAATCCCGGCACTCAGGAGATAGAGGCAGGAGGATCAGGAGTTCAAGGCCAGCCTTAGATACACAGTAGGCTAATGGTATCATTTCACGTGTGTGTGTGTGTGTGTGTGTGTGTGTGTGTGTGTGTGTGTGTGAATATATGCTATCGTGAGTTACTGTCACCTATGCTGCTTGGAAAACCAGAACTTTTCCTTGTATTTGTTATTTTCACTTGACCTCAGTTCCATTTATTTTATTATTTATTTCACACGACCTCCAGTTCAATTTATTTTACTGAAAATGGCAGGATTCCATTGTGTGTGCGTGTGTGTGTGTGTGTGTATGTGTGTGTGTAAAATCTCTTTGTGTGTATGTGTTCATGTGACTATGTATTTGTACATCTGGGCCAGAGGTGCTTCCTCATCTCTCCACTTTAGACAGGGTCTTTCACTGAACCTGGAGCCGAGGGATTTAGCTAGGCTGCTGGTCAGCAAGCCCCAGGGATCCTCCTGTCTCCACCTCGCCAGCCATGGGATTACAAGCATGTACCCCCACAGTCCGAATTTTTCACCTTGGTTCTGGGGGTTAAATTCAGGTCGTTGTACGGCACTTACCAACTGAGTTACTGCCCCGGCCCTTGGCTTGTTGTTCAGACAGGGTCTTGTTCTGCAGCCCAGTTTGGACTGATTAATCACTTTGTAGCCTAGGCCGGCCTCAGACTCACCATCCATGCCCCTGCCTCTCCCCCTAGAGTGCTGGGATCACAGACATGCCTCATCACTTCTGACTTCTCTTAATCTCCTAACCCGTCTGGACATTTTCTTATTTCAGTAACCATGTTTTTCACTCCCCCCGGAGTCCCCCCCTTTTTTGCCCCGATGAATATTCATGAACATATGAATATTCATGTGCACATATTTGTCACCACATGAATATCTGTAGTGATATGAATATTCATGACCCTATATTCAGTGGTAGTCTGACGTGCCTTCTCCAATTTCTCAGATGACTGACCATCTTCCCTACGGAAAGTTCTGGATGCCTCTACCACAGAGACTGCCATATTGGCTGCCAGCCTCAGGAGGGTGAAGTGGGAGGCTGGAGAGAAGCTGGGGGCGGGGGAGGGGCACGGCTTGGCCCGCAGGATAGAAGAACTCGTCTTGTCCTCCAGTCTCAGCCTAAGGTTCACCTAGATCCTCCTGCCTCCACCTCCCAAGTGCTGAGAAGACAGGTGTATGCCGGCATGTTGTTTTATGGGGCGCCGGGGATCAAACCCTGGGATCTGTGCTTGCCACGACCACCTGAGCTACAGGCCCAGTCAGAAGTTCCCATTTTGTAAGAAGTATTATGGGCTGGGCATGGTGTCTGAGCAAGACCAGCCTGGTGTGCACAGAAAATTCTAGGCCAGCCAGGGCTACACGGTGGGACCCTGTCTAAAAAGAAAAAAAGAAAGAACCGGTCTGGATTTAAATGCCCCACCACACACACACACACACACACACACACACACACACACACACACACACACACAAACACATGTCGAAGGCTTGGTCTCCAGCTGGGGGCACTACTGAGAAGTGACTGATCATGAGGGCACTGACTCATCCATGTTCACCCACGATGAGATCATGGCTAGATGGGCTGTGGAGGAGGTGGGGCCTGTTCAGGGGAAGCAGTCACTGTGGGTATCTTGACAGCTCGGCCCTAAGCTGTGCACTCGGTTTTCACTCCCCCATCTCCCCCTCCCTCTTTCTAGCTACCACAGGTCACCAGCTCTCTCCCACCATGCCCTTGGGCCATGATGTTTCCCTCCTGACCCAAAGCAATGGAGCTGGCCGACTCGGAATGGAACCCTCGCCTAAGTCACGTGCTTAAACCCATCTTTCCTCTCGTAAGTTGTTTTCATCTCGGGTATTTCATCACAGCCACAAAAAGCTGACAGACACAGATGGGAACTGCGACCCAGAAAGGTTAATACACATGCCCAGGGTCACCCAGCAGCAGGCTTCAGAGCCCACGTCTCCTCCACTTCTATGTGTTACCAACGAGGAATGTGGCCTCAGCCTGGACCCTGTTCACGTTCCCTTTGAGTCCCTTCTCTGCTCAGCCCCCGGGGGTCCAGCTTATCCATGAGGGGGTGAGGGGGAGAAGACAGAGAAGGGGGTGCGCCCAGTCGGGTACCACCCACACTTACCAGCACACGGTCTCCCAGGTGGAGGTCCTTGTCACCACGCTTCACAGACCCGCTGTCGGACAGGTTGGAGCCAGACTCATTGCCTGTCTTCACGGAGCTGTTAAGAACACTCTCCCGCAGGGGGATGACGCGGCTGGTGAGCGGGGGCGTGGCGGTGCCCGAATGCAAGGACAGGTTCTGGGCAGTGAGGGATTCCACGGAGTGGGCGTCGCTGCCCGAGCCCTCAGCTGTGGGCTGGCGGGTCAGCTTGGAGGGCCGCGTGAAGATGCCCTGCAGAGCCGGGCACTCGAAGTAGCGCACGCCCCCCACGGCGCCATCGTTCTTGCCCACCGGGTCGTCCAAGACCACGCCGGCCCACTGGCCTGGCGCAAACTGGGTCTCCCCCAGGTACTGCACCACGCCCGGCTTCACACCATTCACCCACACCCTTTCGCCCACCACAAAGTCCCCCAGGAAGTCATCACCCACTTCAGCTGCCTTCGGCTTCTCAGAGACCGCGCTGGTGGCTCCAGCCGAGGAGGGGCCCGAGGCCTGCTTGTGCAGGGGAGACCCTGTGGATAAGTTAAGGGGCAGTAGTTAGGGCTAGCCTGGGAACTGGGGGGGGGGGGGGGGAAGACAGCCAGCCGGAGCTGGAGGATGTCCTGTGATAGTTGTCTGACGGGGAAACTGAGGCAGGCATGGTCAGCAGTATGACCTGTGTAAGGCTTATTCTTCCTTCTGGACAGTGGGTAACTCAGTTTTTTCCTTTTTTCTTCTGGCTCCCACCCAAGGGTGTCCAGAGTCTGAGTTTTTTTCAGGGACACACTGCCACCTACAAGGTCCACACTGGAGGGAGTGTGGCTGACAGGGTAGAGCACTTGCATGTGAGGCCTGGGTTCCATTCTCAGGGCCTCAAAAACAAAACAAAACAAAACAAAAGTTGGACTGGTGGGATGGCTCAGTGGGCAAAGGGGCTTGCCACCAAGCCTAATGACTTGAGTTCAATCCCCGGGACCCACATGTTGGAAAAAATCAACTTCTACAAGTTGTCCTTTGACCTCCAGATGTGTGCCATGGAATCCAGGCCGACCCTTCCTTCCATAATAAATAAATGAATGCAAAACAATTCTGGAGGGCTGGAGAGAGGGCTCATCGGTTAAGAGCACTGGCTGCTCTTCCAGAGGGACCAGGTTCAATTCCCAGCAGCCACATGGCAGCTCACAACTGTTTGTAACTCCAGTTCCTAGGGATTCAACACCCTCACACAGACATGAATTTGGACAAAACACCAATGCACACAAAATAAAATTAAATCACATCTTTAAAAAAAAAAACTGAGCCAGCAGTGGTGGCATACGCCTTTAGTCCCAGTACTCAGGAGGCAGAAGCAGGTGGATCTCTGAGTTCAAGGCCAGCCTGGTCTACAGAGTGAGTTCCAGGACAGCCAGGGATACACAGAGAAACCCTGTCTCAAAAAACAAAAAACAAACAAACACAAATAATAAAATCCTGTAAAGTGTGCTTGGCAGGCCTAAGCAACTATGGGTCATAAACCTGTAAAGCCCTTGGTGGTGACCAACCCACCTTAGTCCCACTGAGGACTCCACTTTACCTGTCCTCTTTGTTTAAAACACAAGAAGGGGCCCCGGGGTTTCGGGGACCCAGTGTGGCTATTCTTAGAAAAAAGCTACCCGCTCAGCTGTCCCTACCCTCAGCTGTCCCAGCCCACAGGACCCTCAGATAATCTCTTCTGACCCCTGCCTCTCCCAGGGGTCACAGGTTCTCCAACCAATTGCTTCAACAGCTGCTACAACTCAGGTCACAAGTCTATGATGCCATCAGAGAGTTTCTTTGGTTTATTCTTTCCCCTTTTAGCCTCCCCCCGCTTGGCCCCTCCAGCTGCCCCTGCCTCACAGGGACCAAACCCCTTTCAAGTTCCCCACAGAGACAGGCAGGGAGATTATTGGCTGCCTGGGGATGGGAGAACAAGGGATGCCCCAACACAGCACCCTAAATCCAGATTTGTAACACACTGGCCAGGCTTAGTTAAACCCCCTCCCTAAATTGGTGCCTCAGTTTCCCCAAATGACAACTAGGTAAGATATATATATGTGTGTGTATATCTATCTATCTATCTATCTATCTATCTATCTATCTATCTATCTACCTACCTATCTACCTACCTACCTATCTACCTACCTATCTATCTCCAGAGTACTATTGGGCTCTGATTTTTACTTTTTTTTTTTTTTTACTTTTTTTTACCTTTTTTTTTTTTTTTTTTTTTTGGTTTTTTGAGACAGGGTTTCTCTGTGTAGCTTAGCGCCTCTCCTGGGACTCACTTGGTAGCCCAGGCTGGCCTCGAACTCACGGAGATCCGCCTGGCTCTGCCTCCCGAGTGCTGGGATTAAAGGCATGCGCCACCACTGCCCGGCTGGACTCTGATTTTTATTTTTAATTTTTTGAGATGCTCTCATGTAACCCAGGCTGGCCTCAAACTCCCTATACAGCACATGATAGCTTTGATCTTTCTGCCTCCGCCTCATGAGTGCTGGGATTACAGATGTGCACCACCATGCCTGATTTACGGGATGCTGGGGATGGAGCCCAGGGCTTCCAGCTTGCTAGGCAAACACAATACCAACTGGACCACATTCCCAGGGCCTTTCTGTTGTTTGTTTTAAGAATCAAACTACATAGCCTTAGCTGGCCTTGGGTTCACCATGCAGGAAAATCTAGCCTTCAATTTACAGCAACCCACCTGCCTTATCTTCCCCAAGATTTTAGGCGTGAGGTCACCAAGTCTATTGGTACTGACATTCTATGCCAGGGACAGGTAGTGTGTGTAGTTAGAGCTCTTAAGATTTGTCAAATGGACTGGGCGGTGGTGGCGCACGCCTTTGATCCCAGCACTCAGGAGCCGGAGTCAGGAGGATCTCTGAGTTTAAGGCCAGCCTGGTCTACAAATCGAGTTCCAGAACAGCCTGGGATACACAGAGAAACCCTGTCTCGGTGCGGAGGGGGAAACAAAAACCCAAACAAAACATCTGGCACATGGATGGTTCCCTTGGCCCACATCCTCACAGAATCACCTGAGGGTGGAGCCTGGACCTAATACTGTCTCTGAGGCGCCCATCATTGCACACAGTGGCCCAGTAACCCCAGGAAGGCCAAGGGCTAGCCACATCGGGTTGTGCACACATGTCATTTCAGAATTGGGGTTGGCTTTAAGTGGGAGGACTTCTGAAGCCAGCCTGAGCTACTGACAGAGTCCGAAGTTAGACCAGGCAATTCCATGAGAGCCTCAGCTAGGCTTCCATGACACACAAGCAATCTACTGTCTTCCGGGACAGAGATTCCCTTCGTGAGAAAGGCAGAGCAGAATTTATCTTGAGTGGCTGGGTGTGGTGGCCCAACACTTCAGAGGGGCAGGATGAAGGATCAAAAGTTAAGGATCGCCGGGCGGTGGTGGCGCACGCCTTTAATCCCAGCACTCGGGAGGCAGAGCCAGGCGGATCGCTGTGAGTTCGAGGCCAGCCTGGTCTCCAAAGCGAGTTCCAGGAAAGGCGCAAAGCTACACAGAGAAACCCTGTCTCGAAAAACCAAAACAAAAAAAACAAAACAAAAAAAAAAAAAAAAAAAGTTAAGGATCATCCCCCACCTATACATAAGTCTGAAGCTAGCCTGCCCAGGTTGCATGAGAAGTTGTTTCAGACTTTGCTGTTGTTAAGGGAGGTTTTTTTTTTTTTTTTTTTTTTTTTTTTTTTTTTTTTTTTTTTTTTTTTTTTTTTTTTTTTTTTTTTTTTTTTTTTAAAGATTTATTTATTTATTATGTATGCAGTGAGTGTTCAGCCTGCAGGCCAGAAGAGGGCACCAGATCTCATTATAGATGGTTGTGAGCCACCATGTGGTTGCTGGGAATTGAACTCAGGACCTCTGGAAGAACAGCCAGTGCTCTTAACCTCTGAGCCATCTCTCCAGCCCTGTTAAGGGAGGTTTTAAGTTCAAACTAAACCCAGTCTGGTTCGCTCATGCCTTTAATCTTTAATCCCAGCACACAGGAGGCGGGTGGATTTCTAACAGTCTAAGGCCAGCCAGGTCTACATATTGAGTTCCAGGCTCATCAGGACTACATAGTGAGACCCTGTCTCAAAAAAATAAAGTTCCAAGTGGAGCTTTGATGCAAAGGACTAAGGCCAAAGTGAGGGAGGGAAACAGCTGGCTGGTTCAACAGCAGGTGTAGAGCCCAGTGTGGGGACCCAGATGGCACTGTCCTCTGAATGAAGATTTGCCTTGTCTTGTGCAGGGGGCAAGCCTTTTCTTCCTCTCCCTCTCCCTCTCTCTCTCTCTCTCTCTCTCTCTCTCTCTCTGGGCGTGCGTGCGTGTGCCGTGCATGCATATACCATGTGTGTGCAGGTGCCAACAGAGGCCAGAAGAGGGCAGGGAATGACTGGAGCTAAGCTTACAGGCGGTTGCGAGCTGCCAGCTGTGGGTGCTGGGAACTGAGCTCTGGAAAAGCAGCAAGTGCTCTGTAGCACGGAGCCATCTCCAGCCCCTTACCTTGTTTTCTAAGGCAGGATGTCTCACTGGGCTTGCCAAGTTATCTGTCTCCACAGCGCTGGGATTACAGCGCATGTACACCACCTCACCTGATTGTTTTTAAAGTGTCTCCTAACCTAGGCTAGCCTGGAATTTGCTATGGAGCGAAATATGACCTTGAACTTCGGATCTTTTTCTGTCTCTGCCTCTGAAGTCCTGTGATTACAGGCATGCACCACCGTGCCTTGTTTATGTGATGTCAGGGATGAAATCCACAGCTTTCTATAAGCTTGGTCAACAGAGTCCCGTTCCAGCCCCACCTCCAATATGGTTTGGGTTTTTTTTTGTTGTTTTTTTATATAGGTTTTGGGGCTTGAACTCAGGTCCTCATTCTTGGTCTGAACTATTTGTCCAACCCCGGCAGGGCTTTTCCTTACCTGCCAAGACTCATCCAGGAGGGACCCCATCAATGAGCAACTACTACCGGCCAACCCTGTGGTCACACGGAGGCCACAGGGGAGGACAAATGAGGGTCAGCAGGGATGGGGGAGGGGTGGGGACATACAAGAAGAGAAGTTGTAATTCAGCCAGCTGAGGATAATGAAGGAAGGGAGCCAGAGCCCTGGGGGTGTTGGAGGGAAGGGACGCTCAACTCTGAATGAGGTTCCTATAACCTCTTGCCTCAGGATGTTACTGGGCTCCTCAGAAACCTTCCCCATCTACTCTATCAAAAGGCCAGGGCAAGCCGGGCAGTGGTGGCACACGCCTTTAATCCCAGCACTCGGGAGGCAGAGCCAGGCGGATCTCTGTGAGTTCGAGGCCAGCCTGGGCTACCAAGTGAGTTCCAGGAGAGGCGCAAAGCTACACAGAGAAACCAAAAAAAAAAAAAAAAAAAGAAAAGGCCAGGGCAGGGCCAGTGAGGTGGTTCAATGGGTAAAGGTACTTGCTGCCAAGACTGACTGAAGTTTGATCTCAGGACCAAGATGGTGGAGGGGGGAGAACTGACCCATCTAAGTTGTCCTTTGACCTCCCT